AAACCGTCTTCAACTCGGATCCATTTACAGAGCAATCCTTGAGCTTTTTTTTTCGCACAAGTAGAGATCGAAGGCTTTCAGGTGATCAAAACAGATAACAAATGAGTAGAGTGCTCACCTCAAACCGATTTACAGTATGTTTAAATGTCATATGCACTTCAGGTCCCGACCCAGATGATGTGCTGGATTCCGGCTACACGGACGCCAATGGAGCTTTCGAACTACATGGTTCGACAGCGGAACGTACCACTATCGATCCACAGCTGAAATTTTATCATGATTGTAACGACGGTGTTATTGTAAGTGTACACAAATGCATTGGATATTTTTTACCCTGACCACCACTAGTGTTCCACTTGTCACTACACCACGCCTGCGCCTTAACTTCGAAAATTATTTTTTATTGCTCATTATCCTTCTGGACTCATCCCCCTTTCGTGAGCAAGTATTTTCAGCCATGCCAACGACGATGGAAGTTTGAACTACCACATCAGTACATCACTTCAGGTTTGTCGGGTCATTCCTTTCAAATCTGTTCTCCTCTTTTATATAGAGAACTGGCTCAACAAGGCGGTGCGGTGTAGGAAGAATCTCGCTATATACATCTTTGAGACAAGTAGTACACGGCAAAACGACGGGTTTTTCAACCATCTCTCCCACCTAACACTCCTCCACTGATTCTTGGAAATTAAGCTGCATGTACTAGACCTGTAGTGAGTAACGGTTGACGATAGTAGTACCTTCGGTCACACTAAGTTTTCAGTCTTCAGACCTCCGACTGCATTCAAAAGAGATCATGACAGATCTATGCAATAGCATGCGGCTCAATGAAACAGATCAGACTTCTTTACCAAAACCCGCAATGGAAGAAATAGTTTGTCGCTTATTCCTCCAGGAAGATCCACGAAGCTACATGGGCTCGAGATGGGAAAGGCAATGAATGAAAACGTTTTTGGTGCCCGCCAGAACAAATCCATCATCAAAGGGAGCCAGGTGATACAGGCCAAATCAAAAGCAGTGGGGTAGGGACAAGCGGTGAGGGTCGAAGCCGATTAAATTCAACCAGAGTCTTCGCACCACTGGGCATCATGTAAACTGATTCTAGGCCAGCTTTCAAAGGTAGTAGACTGAGCTGTCCCTCACATTCACTTGCAGTACGAAGCCCAATTGCCGTAGAATCCCGTATAGGATTTAAACGTGTAGATCACTCAGGAAGGAATTATGGGTAGATATTTCATTCATTTATTTACAGCTGGCGAACCTGCAAAGATGATGGATATTGGTACATGGAATCTTGAAGCACTACTCCCCGGAGAAAGCCATGACTGTCAGCACTAAGATATAGACAGACTACTGTCCTGTCATCAGAGCATGGATGACATAATCAACGAGGAATTTATTGATATTTTGTGATAAACAGTTATGAAATTCTATTCGATGTCATGAATCATCTCCATTGTGTCCCCACTGCGTGCGCCCAAAAAAGATTGCCGAAAATCAGAAAAGTTCAGTGGTTATAGGAAAGCAGAAGTATTTGGAGAAACGTTAAGTATTTGGATGTGCTTTACTAATTTGGCTACGCCATGCACAAGACAGTTGTTATTTTTTTGTGAATGTAAGCATACTGATTCCAATAAGCCGCTGTAAATGTACAAAACAAATCCAAGACGTTTCCTTGAGCAGCCACCTTGAGAACACGCCACGCTTCGGCTTTCTTTCTAGAAAGCTGCTATGATTGGAAGCTTTCATTCATTCATTAGTTCAAATGAGTTCAACTGAGTTCAAATGAACCTAACCTTTTCACCCAATTCTGACTGAGAAAGTAATCTCAGCACTCCGCTAGAAGTTCTCTTTGAAAGGAAGCTGGACAATTTAAACTGGGACGGTTCAGCCTCCGGAAAAGGATATGGGTGTTTACTTAGATTCACGTACAAGGGTGAAATTAGTCTTTGTGAGGAATTACTGTCCTGTTTCCCAAATTGGAGGACCTTCTTATTGCATGAAGGATGATATACAAACATATGATCGCGCATGGCGCAGCACAAAAAAGTGACTATAAAGTGGATGGCTTGCAACTTGTTTCCTCGGCCGTTCTTATTGTATTAGTAATCAAACTAAACTCCTCGAACGAATTCAAAATTCCCAGAGATCAAGACAAACAAGACAAACAAACAATAAACAAAACACGTGTTTCTGCAAACAACTGTAGAGGGAACCCATATCAAGTCGCTAATTATTCCGCGATTCTGAGCCCAACTAATATTTTATGAAAGCCGTATTAGTTTCGAAGAAGATAATGTTCCCCTATAACATTCCGAAATGCTAGAGGTACCTTTACCACTCGAAATCAACAAACTAATTCTGTATCTCTGTAGGAGATGTAAACTATGCCAAAGAAACAGTACACCACGGAATTCATCATGGACTGCTCCAATTTTCGCTTCAAATCAGACTGCCTTCGAGGAAAGAGTTCAAAAGTCAAGGAAATTTGCATAAACACCAACTTTTCAGTGGGAATGCCGCTATTGGAATGTTCCATGAAGCACGCCCCAGGAGAAAGTAATGTCCCTCAAAAAAGCTCATACCCTGGAAACCGGCTCCCAGTACCCCATTGAGTGACCCATATGATTGCTTAGAAAGATCTAAACGTTGTTTTTACCATTGTTCTTCAACAATGCCAAAACGCGTTGGGAAATCAGAATGATGTGACATTCTATGGGCAACACACTCATTTTTGACTCGCATATGCAGAAGGAAGCCTCGCTGAGCTCACTTTACTCTCGTTAACTTTCCATCGGGTATTTCTCTCTCTTCTATTCCAGGAAATACCTGCTGCGATGAAGCTATTCTTTTCTCGAAGGTGTACAAGAC